TAAAGTTCCAAGATGGGAACCCCAGTAGCTGTGTTCAGAAGCTTGTTCAGGTCATTCAGACTGAAGAACATGGAGATACAGTAGAACCAAGACGTGACGAAGCCAATGCCAACGGTGGCCATAATAGCGATGGGGATGTTCTTCTCAGGCTGTGGTACCTCCTCCGCAAGGTGGGTCGCAGAGTCCAAACAGGCAAAGATCCAGTTTGGGTTGATCAGCCCAACAATAAAAGCCATACCGTCCGACTCCCATCCAGTGGAATTGACGAAATGACCAAACACATATGCTGCGCTGGCATGAGTCTTAGCACAAGCGGGGACTGTGACCAGGATCACGAAGAAAGAGAGTAGCGAGATGTAAAGGGTGACCTTTGCAACTGCAGGCAACGTTTTACCCCAGCAGTTGAAGAGGTAACAAAAGAAGTTGATGAGCTGATAAGCTACCACAGTATGCCATGGCTGCGGAACACTATTATCTTTAAGTCAGCACTACAGACATTAAGATGTATCTAGAAGGAAGGTTAGGGCAGAGCATACAATTCGGGATGGCCAAGTTGCCACATTCCTACCCCAGCGGACCCAAGACTGAGAGCTACACTGGCACAGGCGAAAATGGCACCAGCATATCCAAACCAGCCGGTGAAATAGGATGCAAATCGTGCATATTTCTTAGGCGCAAGTTCATTGGCCCAGAAATATTGACCACCGGCATTGGGCATGGAGCTGGCCAGTTCGGAAAGCGAGGCACCCACACATGTTGAAATGAAACCGATCCAAATCAATCCGTAAACGATAAGGACCGTGCCTCCAGAACTGATACCAGTGATCAAGGATGCAGAGATACCAAACCAGGAATTGGACATACAAAACGCAATACCAACAAGTGAGAGTATTGAGAAATTGCGCTGCAAATCCTGTGTGTATCCCATCTCGGCTAATCTGAGTGCGTCAGAATCATCAGCTCCTGACGCATTCTCACTCTTGCATGCCGGATTCACATTCGGCTTCTTTTCTATGTCAAAGTCGGCCATTGTTGCGGTTGATTGCAATGGGTGTCAGTATACGGGAATGGTGCAAAGGGCAACACAGTGTTCGAACGAGGGATACCGAGCCGGCTGCCGTGTTGCAATGTTACTGCGTGGGAGTACCTAGATCGGATGGTCTAATTGAATCAATTATAACCACGGTTGCATAAGGGCTTATGGGTTCGTTCCGGGTCTGGTTCGAACGATAACGGGGCTGCTGTTGGACAGGTTGACTGCTGTTAGGGTTACGGGTTCGAGGTAGGGTTCTGGCGATGTTACTGCTGGTCAGGTTGACTGCTGTTGGCAGACTTCCTGCGGGTCCAAAGTCGCGAATGGGTTGTCGAGTCTGTCGTCGGGCCCGAGATATCGTTGGGTGATTGTCGCACACGGAGGGATGACTGCACCTATCGATACGGCGATACAAGATACAGGACAGCCGAAGCGATCAGTATTGGAGAATTCAATCTGTTGTTTTGTTGCTTGTTCTCTCGAGCTATCAACAAAGCGGGAAGGCGTAAGACATAGACGGAAGTCTTGGTGTCGGGTACAGCCTAACGCAAAATGAAGCAAATACCTCAAGCTGCAGATGCAGGAGAAGGTATTTGCAGAAGGTAGATGGGAGAGGAGAATATGAAAGGAGAAACTGATGTGAAGTTGGAGAAAGATTGGCCCCATGGGAGGGGCAACAGTGAGTATTTAAGATATCGTCACGCTACACTTCATTTTTGTTTTCCTTTTTTGTTATTAATGTCCATTGTCAACCCTACTGTGGTATGCCTCGATGTACTCCGTAGCCTTCCTTGTCGACTCCACTTTGGATTTGATTAGTTGATCCCCCAAAGGTCCGAGAGGTTCCCCATCTTTTACCTCTCTTGGCTCCATCTCTCACGGAAGCACTAACTATGGTGGACAAAAGTGATAGGCACAAAGTCAATTTCGCACTCCGATTTGCCTCCACCTAGCAGTATGATATCGTCATAGGCTGTGCACTAGGCACAGAATTAACCTAGTGTTGTTCTGGTTCTGCAGTCCCTGGTGGCGATGGGTTGAATGAATGAGGCACTATTCGGCTGTGGTCAGGGCTAGTTCGAGAGCCTTGGTTACATAGTCAACTTTGGCGCAATGGTTGGTTGATCCTTGCTGCACCCGGTGGCTTCGCTCCACTTTGGCCCTAGAGCTCCGCCGAAATTTGTTGATTCCCTATGCGTTTTCACAACTTTGGATTTTGGTTTCCCTACTCATCTTTCTCCTTCCCTCCAACGTCATACATTATGATTTGTGCGCGTCAGGAGTTTTTTCCGCCGTCTAGTTCGAACCGGCTCGGAACTTCAAAGTTCATCGGCCCGTGTCCGACGGTTTCTAGAAAACCAATCCTGCAGCAGGGATTCTTGCGAGAGCCCACGACCTGGTCAATAGTTGCTATGCTCCTTACATGCCATTCGACAATCCGTTTTATTATAGTTTCCGGGTGATATTAACCAGGTTATTATCATTGACACCTTAAGGATTCCTTAGGAAAAGTCCGCTCAAACCGTTGACGTTCCGAACTTTCTCCAGTCGCGTGCAGTTGCTAGCCTTTTGGTTTTAGTAACGTCCACGACCGGCACCAGTGGAGCTCATTCTTATGTGAGGTTTTGATTCGCACGTCGAGCCAAGATGAGAAACACTCGACTAAAAGATAACCTCACCGATCCGCGTGTGAAGCTCGAGGTATTTTATCCTCGGTCCAGTGGTCTGCATCCTCCCCCTGGAAAAAAAGAAAAAAGAAAAAGAAAAAATACCATACCCAACAACCCAACAACCTCTGTAATACAATATGCAAATGAGGTATACACCTTTACTACTATTTTCTGAAAGTGAGCGCAATCATATCCTGCCTACCGGAGCCAATAAGATATTCGGTCTTTATCGCATACATACCCTGAAGCTACTACTAGTAGTATCCCACTCGAGGTTAGGGAGCGCCCCTAGTTAATTACGGAATCTTCCCGCGCCTAACAGAGCTTGGCTCTCTACTCAGCCTTCTGCCTCCCACATGCTCACAGGCAGCAACCTTTACCCCTTAGAGAAGCTGGATATCTTAGCCGGGAGCGTTTCAGTTGGCTTTTTTTCCATATCAAATGGCGATCATTGCTGTACGTCGTCAGACCGTGTAACCTTTCTCTCGGACAGGCTAATAAAGTCTATCCTTTAAGGTAATCTCGACGGCTAAGACCGATGATAAGGTGTGGTATATGAACCCGTCACTTCAATTCTACACTGGGATGACTCGGTGATAGCAAAGATAACAATAGCCTTGTTTCCTATTCTTCTCTTATGCTTCTGATGTGGGTAGCAACTAGGCCAAGTGCGTACGTAACGGAATCTAACCGACAGCTTCAGATCCATACTACGTAGGTAACATTCGGCATGGCAGCCACAAAGCTTGGAATCCGCTTCCCCATCGGGAATAGCCCTGGGAGTGGCCCAGAACAGTTCAGCATCCGATTCCGAATGGCATAAGAGTTATGAGAAAATTACTTCCAGTAGGGAAATTCTATCGCTCACCAACACCATGTATTATAGCAGAATTGATCACAGTTGTCCGAAATTTGGCCTTGTATCCACCTTTTTCAATCCTCGACTTCCAAGGATTCCTCTATCACGTTAAGACAGAAGGCCGTGAACCTCAATGACGTAGAAATATATCTGACATACTAGAAGTCTTGCTCATGGTCGCAAAGAATGCCATGAATGATCCACATGCATTCATCTCGTATTACTGTTATGCATCTAAATTTAGACTCGTCTTATCTGATATTCCCACGCGATTTGCTACCCCATATTCTGAGAGGACATATCGTCACACGAGCTCCAGACGTAACGATCGCACCTAGTAGAGTTTGCCTCGATGGTCGCTATTACTGGTATGCTTCATTAAATGAAGATAACTGCCAAAGCCCTTGAGTATACCAAACGGGGAAACCGTATGCTATCTCGAGCAGATCTACAAACCTGTAGCCTATCCTCATGCAGGAGGGACATCTTTACTCTTTTCGGGTAACCACTTGAGTTTACCCTAAACCAACGATCAACTACATATAGCCGAGAGCGCCTGATGACCGTTAATCCCCTCTTTCTCAGCCACCAAAATCTAAACCAATCTGACATACGTCTGCTTGTTCATTTGCCCATGTTACTGTGTTATGATAAGCTTTTATCGGTTATTGGTTGCTTGTGGATAACCTGCGATTGATTAATTGACCAGGTTGTTCGGTCGTTATCTTACACTTTGGGGTACCGACGGGAAGGAGTCAATGCTTCCTTTGAAACAAGGTTAATGGCTGAGGTGTTGTGGCCTAGGGATTTTCCGGGGTAGTTTGTACCTTGCCACTTTGGTCTTGTTGCATTGGCTTTACCGGGCGGATCAGCGGGCTCTTGTCGATGAGATAGGGTTTTATTCCTTCTTATGGGCATTGCATGGAGAAGGAGTCGCTCAAGGCTTACGACATAATGAATACGGGGACCGACAGAAGGATTTGGGTTATGCGGGGAGTGCCTATCTCCAACTGTGTGGAGGATATGATAGGTCGTGAACGCTTATCTCCTTCTTTCAACCATTCTGTTCCTTGAACTTCTGCGATTCAAGCAATCGCATGATAAGGTACTCAGATAGTGCCAATAGTCTGCGTGCTCCGGTCACTGTGGTTTATTGATAGGGTATCTTTTCTATTGCCGTCTCCCCTATGGCAACGAGAGTAACAGAGTGACGGAGGATTACTTCTCTTGAATCGTGATTCATACTCCTTACCCTCCTCGAAAATCAGTGAAAACATGGCAACACTCATATAGAGTCTGTTACACCCTTTGCAGTGGTATCATTGAATTCGTCTGATTTCGTCAAAATCTTTTTCTCCTCATTATTAGGGCCACAGACAATACCGCTGCAAGCAACCGCGGTGGGCGGCCACTCCGCGGAAACGAGATATTGCTACTATCAGGCGTGTTCATCGGACCAGGCGCACTCGTTACTTGCAGAGGTAGCCCTGTTGTACGGTGAGGCGTTTCAATATCATTCCCAGTGCCATTCCCAGTAATGCGTGGCACTGATACTACACGCATCATCCATTTTCGAAGCCGAGGGCCGATGTTGTTGTACATGATGATATGCAATGTCATGCCGTGGCTTTCGACGTCCTCCCCGGCGAGAATAGAGATACTGACAGGCAAAGCCACCTTGGGTATAACGCAAACAGGATGGTTGAGTGGCATCACATTTGAGATGCTGTTTGCGGCGTTCCGTGAAAGCAATCCGTGATATTGAGTACTATGATGGTTTATCTCTTTCTCATGTCTCTGAGGGATGAAGATATTCTGAACCCGCCATAAGTCTCCTTTTCACCCTGTCTTTCTCTTTCTCTCTGAAGCACGCGGTGGTGCCCTTAGACTATTCGGTGCGCTGCTTAGTAGGTTCTAGGGCCCGCGAGTCGTAACTTGCAGATAATGTTGGTCTTTGGGCAAAATGCCTTGTATCGCCTAAGCCCTAGATTGGGTACTTTACATTCTCTTTCACCCGCTCTCTTTCTATTGATTCTTTTGGAGTAAAGTGGCATTGGTCTTCCTACTGCCTCGTTATATTTCCAGACATTGCATTCTCGGTTGTAATGCCCTCTTCGCCGGGTGACGACATATATGTACTATATACTTGGCGCCTGCATAAGCTTGTTATTCTTATGTTTTTTTTACGCGACGTTGCCAATACTTCGTTGGTGGACATCATTGATGTCTATATTGGTGTATAACAGACGCTAGCCCATGTCGTGTTCTCATAGCTGGACACATTGGCACATCTGAAAAAGTCAGTCTCTCTCAAAGAAGTAATGAGCTTTGCTTTACTATGGTTTTATCATTAATTAATGCCTATCATAGGCAGTGGTTAATTGAAGTGCTTGAGTTAATATGATGGAATGGCAAAAAGCTTTTTCTTCAATAATCAACTGGAGAAAGGATTGTGGGAGATAACAGATCCGCTTAAAGCAAGACGCAAGACATTGACAAGCCCATGCAAGGGACCGTAGGTCTCTACGAGGAACTCCTACATCAGTTGTGTGACACGTTGAAGTAAAACTCGTCACTTTAAGCTAATCTTTGAAATACAACATAAACTGAGTGCATAATTCAACATCCACAGGTCAACATAGTTCATCCATATGGTTACAATAATAAAGGGCTTAGATGTTCCCCAATTTGAGGCTATATTGCCAGTATTTCCCATGGTTTCTCCTGTCAAGAAGCGCCCCGAGTAGATTTTATTCTAGGTAACATTGAACAAAGAGCGGTATACTCCACAGTGGGGGATATATGATATCACAAGGTTAAATCAACGACTAATGATATTTTGGTTAAGTGGGGTATGATGGAATATATATAGTAGTAGCCTACGCTCTCTTATTATCAAAATAGTACGGAGTGTACAAAACTAATGGGTCACTTGTGCTTACATGTGATGCCGGTGTATGGAGCTTTTGGTTTTTGAGGATAGTATGTTAAACATGGGTCTAATTCATAGCCTGGATACGGAGTACATATCTGTTATTCTTATGAGTAGTTTAGTTGTACTGTAGTTATGAAGCATTGTTGATTACAAAGTTGAAGTTCAAGGTTTATTTTGGTGGTGAACTGCCTACCCATGCTGTATTTAAATTGTATAGAGGGGTAAACGGACTGATAAATGCCACATTTCATTATTTAATAAAGCCAGGAGATGTTCTTTATATTGAGGTTGCATTGTCGCGGGAAGATGTCTGGTGAAAGCCCCAGGCTACGAGATCATGTGCCAATGATCTGCCTTCTGGTGCGGTTCACCGTCACACCCTCGTTTCATCGTTTCCTACTCCATATTTAATCTATGCAACGCACGGGAGAAGATCTGTGGAATTTTTGGAGGTAAGATCTGACTATGTCTTGTTTTCTTCTTTTTTCTTTTTCTTTTCCTTTCTCTCTTTTTGTTTTAGCTCTTAGATCCGATACTGCTTAGACTAACATCCAGTAGTGACACGGGATGAAGTTTCTATTCTCAACATGGTCCACAGTTCGTCCGATTCTGAAACGACAGTCGCTAACTTTCGGGGAAGTGCTTACCCGCTTTCCTCTCAGCGACCGTGAGACACAATTCCCAGGATATGCTTGCCTCATGACTCAGAAAGTCAATGACTCGTGTGGGCGAGGAAGACTTAAGGCTCCCCCTTGGTTAGCCTTATTCAGAACATAATTTTGAGCCTGTACCAGACTGACAAAGTACCCCTGAGGCTCGGATGTGCATGATGTCACGTTTCAACCTCCTATCCGCAATTTGCGACCGACCCAAACATCGGCCCCAGACCAACGCGTTAGCGTCCCGCTAGTCAGGAACAGAATCCAGCAACGGCCAATCTTCTGCCTTGGGCCCAATTCCGTTTCCCTCTCATTTGCAAATCAAAACCTCCGATGAAACCACAAACTTTCGTTTCAGGTCAATCCACACCGTTACGCTTCCTGCTTTATCATAGGGCAGGCGCCCGATATGGCGCCTCCGGAGGTTCAGAATGACCTCCCCTGTTCGCTGGGTCCAAACGAACGACGGAGTACTGGAGTCTGGTATTACCCCTGGAGATCAGCAATATCAATGAATGGGGCCAAGTGGAGGCCCAGGGAAACCGTCGGGCACTGCCTCTCTTGGGCGCTGGCTAGTTGAGAAAACCCAAGACGCTCACGTCTCTGAGTGGACGTCCCACTGGCACACGAGACGTCGAGGAAAACCGCTCCAGTCCTCTGTTAATTATCTGTCATTAATGGAGGTCCTGCGAAGGTTGTGATAGGGAGGAAGGGGAATCGACATCCCAGCCCCCCCGCGCTTGTAAGTTTGTTCTAAGTGGTTCCCGGCTATTGGGTCTGCAGTCTGATAGAGGCGACGCTAACCATTCTAATGAAATTTCCTTGAGATGATCTTGCTCTTTATCGATTAACCCCTCCCTGCAGAGTTTGGTTCGGACGATTGTCATTAATTTCGAGAAGGAAAAGAAGCGCAATAGTCATGGGAATAAGGGGATAGAATTTAATAGTTCCATGATCGGTTCTTAGCGACCCAACGGCCAAGTCAAGTTCGGTTCTTGGGGCCGAGAAATAGGTAGAAGACCAAGATGCAGAATTAAGTAAGTAGTTTATCAGATAGGGGCGACGGCAAGCGAAATGAGAAAAATTTAAAAAAGTGAAAAGGGCAACAATCAAAGACAATCGCGATTGGTGAACGGGGGCAAATTGGACTGGACTGACTGACATTCCCCAACGAACAGACCACCTGCTGTTGAAGTCACTCGGCTGTTTTTCTACTATCGCTTTGTTTAAAACCACTTCCTCCGCTCCCCTTCTTTAATATTTCCACCACATCATCCGACGGCGTTGACGTCCTTCCGCTCCTTTATTTTTCAGAAGGATTGTATCCTTTCTGACTCGTTGTTTTATTTTACACTCCTTTGTGTCGCTCTTTCTCCACTGTCTCTCGTTAAATTTGCTGATTTCTGTTATTTTTGCGGTCGTGAACTGACGGTACGATCGACTATGTACTCCCTGGTTATTTACCATTCCAGCCCAGGAAACATGGCTAATGAAGAACGAGGTTATTAGATAACCGACTCAAAAGCCCTGGATTCCTGGTGAGATTCCAGCATAACTATCGAATTATCTCGATTCAAGTCGAAGAATTGATCGATCGACCCTAGTAATCCCTGCGGATTTCCAAAAAGGGTATGTCTACAATTTCTCTCTATCGCTTCCTCTCCTTTTTCTTGCTGCCCCCCGGTCCTTTGCACTTTCTTACACTCCAATGTAATATCATTCCTATATACACTCTATTCTTCGAAGCTCCAGCCCTAAATACCCTCGTGTAATACATCCAGTGGCGCGTAAAAAGAGGCGGAGCGCCGACGAAGCAAGGGGAATCATCTTCACCCCTTGCGCCAGACCACCAGCCACTGATGTTGAGGAACCATGATGTCAGAGGATTGTCCTGTTCAAGGTTCTTTTATTACATGTGGAGCTTGTTTCAAAGGGTTGGAGTTATGCGCGAACCTGCTTTGCCACTGTTGTTGTGATTGTTCATGATGCGTTTTTATACTATGTTCTAATCCCCGCCATCGCGCCGACGATGCTACTGTGAAGTAGCCAGCGGCGCCAGGCCTCATCGGCTCCCTTCCCTATTCTGAACTTTATTCTGCCATATGATTCTTAATTATTGACCCTGGTGACGCTTTAGCCGATTACCTCGCTCGTGGTAGTGGACAGTCAGTTGTCGCTCATTTTGCAGCCCACTCTTGTCCCTCTTTCTGAGATCCATCAACATTAAGGATCATGCGCCAAACGATGAGGCTTGATGTCGGCCTAGTGACAGGCCTGGCTGCCTTTTCGGGGCTGGCTGAGGCGTTTTGGCGTCTTCCATGCCGTGGAAGAGCTGGTTTGGCTCGTCTTGATCCCCTTATGGACCCCGGAAAGGATTCGTACCATGTGCATGCAATTCATGGACCTGACAGTTAGTTCACCAGCCTTTCCCCATGTTGGTCGATTGTACTGAGTGATGATAGCCTTCGCCATGACCGCCGATATGGATACCCTGAGGGATGGCAGCTGCACTTCATGCGCAGTCACCCAGGACAAGTCGGCGTACTGGCACCCCGCTCTCTACTTCATGCACGAGAATGGTGATACTGAAGTTGTCGATCAAGTGGGAGGCATGCTTGCGTATGTGTCTTCTTTTTATCCCTTCCTTAAGATCGACGGGAGTCGCTGACGTGATCCCTTACTCGAATAGCTACTATCTCCTTTACGGAAACAATGTGACCGCATTCCCAGAAGGCTTCCGCATGGTCGCCGGTGACACCTACAAGCGCGACTTTAAATGGCCTGTTCCCGATCCTCCCACGTCTGAATGGTCTGGTGAACAGGAATCGCAAGCTGCCCTTCGCCAGAAGGCGATCGGCTTCAACTGCCTGAACTACAACAAGGCAGCCGAACCCTCGCTCGGTCGACACTTCTTGCCTAACAAGACCTACCTTGATGAGCACTGTACCGATGGTGTTCGTTTTGAAATCATGTTCCCCTCTTGCTGGAATGGCAAGGATGTCGACTCTGATGATCACAAGTCGCATGTCGCCTACCCTTCCACGGTGATGGATGGAACATGCCCGGAGGGCTACGAGACTCGTGTCGTTTCTCTTTTCTTCGAGACTATTTGGAACACTTATGCTTTCAAGGACAAGAAGGGCACATTCGTAATTTCTAACGGTGACCCGACTGGCTTCGGTTACCACGCAGACTTTATTCATGGCTGGGAGTCTGGTGTCCTGGAGCAAGCAGTGAAGAAGTGTACCAATCTTTCCGGCCGCGTTGAAGATTGCGATGTGTTCGACATCCAGAGCGAGGCCGACCAGCGGAAGTGCAAGTTTGAGGTTCCGACTCTTTTGAAGAATGAGGATGTTTACTCTCACAAGGGTGGCCTTCCTAACGACCTCGTCGTCGGGTATGGACCCGCTTATGCAAGCCCCATTGAGTACACTACAGCCACGGCCACGCAAGCTCCCGGTGCCTCAGTGTCGGCCTCGGCGTCCGTATCGATCGGGTTATCCATCGACTTGCCAGGCATCGTGGCTGTCGAAACTTCGACCAGCTCCCCTACGACGCCCACATGGACACCTACCCCAACAACCTCTTATATCGAAGGCGATGTTACCCAGGCGATTGTTTACGTCGAACGTGAGATCACCGTTCTGGTGGATGGACAGGGAAACCCTCTTACAACGCAGACCGGAGGTCTTGAGACCGTTTCCACTGTCATGTCGACTACCACCAGCATCATCTCTACTGTTGTTACTACACCAACCGCTCCTCCTGCCAAGAGAGACCTGCATGAGCACAAACATGCTCATGGACATCATCGTCATGGCCACCACTAAACAAGAACTTCTGAGGTGGTTCAAATGACGACCAACAAGATGAATGGCAAAACCAAGGTTCCCTAATGGGATTCTTCCCGTTCTTATCCGTCATTCCTATACCTGTCTCGTGCTTTCAAGTTCATACCTCGATTCATCGAGTCCGGCACGAGCATTGTGCTTCGCTCCAAAGCTTGCTCCGGGAGACTTCTCTTCTTTCGTTTATAGTTTTCTTCACCTTGTCAATGCCTTATCCCTGTTATTTGGTTGTATATGTTACTCTTATCTGCTTCTTATCCTTGAGGGAACAGTTGAAGCGCGAGATTGATTTTGTTCTTCTCTTGATGAGAGTCGGGATGAGCTTTGTTAAATAAAAACCAATGAATACGTCCTGGAGAACTCCAGACTGACCACGCCCTTGTATGATTACGCTATTCAAAATTGCTTTTCGCACGCAGGATGTATGATACCTTTGTAGCATTTAATGCTATCTCTTTTTTCAAATGAATCATATCAGCGTAATATTGTCTCTCTCTCTCCATGTCACTATTCTGACACGGATCTCCTTCACGCCTCAGATTGAACGGGGAATGACCCCCTTGAAAATACAGGCGGGTGGTTCAAAGGCAGTCAGCGTACCCTCCATGCCGTTCTCCTGTTGTTTTCCAAAGGAGTGATGGTATTGTAGGCGGAATGCACCCTCGTCGAGCTTGTCGAAATTCGGAAGCTTCTTTCTAGCGTGGAAGGAATATCTATTCACTAGCTTTAGCCAAAAGTCAGATTAGACTAGGCCGAGTATGACAATAGTTCACCGGCACCGTAGATATGCAGAGGATCTTGCATTCAATATGTTGGCATTCAAAGACTAGTTGGCAGTCATGTTGCGAGGCATGAATGGGAACTTCTCTTTACGATTTTGGATTTGATTCTACTTCAGCTAGTTTTTTTTTTTTCTCCCATCCATGTGCCCATGTATGGCTAACTGGAGAATGTATACTATTGAATTGGGGTCCCAGAGTCCAAAGAGGCGATCTTCTAAGTACTCCGATAACTTAGTAAAAGTCCTGACTACCGGGATCGATCTTCGTTGAACCTGGCGAATGTATTTTTTGTCGTTATTCCTCGTATTTATTCCAATTCCTTCCCATTTTCTAGATCCATCCTTCGTGAATAAACGGAAGTCCACTGATCTAGCCCTAATCCCCTCCGACATGTATTCCCTACCAGATCAACCCTCCACCTATATAAATCTCATCGCCTCCTTTCTCCTGTAAGGACGAAAGCAACAACAACAACAGGCAGCCCGCGGCATTCCATCTATTCCAGAGGGGCTTCCAGGAGGCATTCTCAGCCATTGAAACCATCCTTCGGATGCGGGGGAAAAAGTCAAGTGTCCAATCCGCGATGGCCGTATTATCTTCGTGGATTCATTCCCGTCGATTTTCGATGTAAGCCATGCGAGCTTCCAGCCATACATGCTCATAAAGCAAGAACCCTGCTTCCGCGCGGGCTACGGGGCAAACAGCGTCTCGTGATATCGATAGCACCTATGCTTTTCAATACCCGGCGGTACAAGGTGCCTGGTGGACAGCAAGCAAAGAGATCGACGTGGCTATGCAATACATATGCATAACAAGTTTTAAGCAGGGTATACGTGCATGAAGTTCGGGGTGAGGCAGCTCGCGACCGCCTCCGCAAAGATGACTGAAGATATTGCCAATATGGAATATCGAAATCCGTATGTATCATTACGACCAAAGTTGGCGAACGGCGCCTCCCTATTATTCGTGCAGATCTTGTGTTACGAGTGGTGGACAGCAGCGAGGCCACTCTATATGTAATAGCCCTAATTGATCATCATAATGGGTGGTAGATAGTCTAAATACAGAAACCCCGCGTCGTCCACGCCTAGCACGCATTCATATCCAATCGGTTGAGTAGGGTATAGTATGGTTATCGTCTTTCATCTAAACTTTGTAGAGGCGTTAAACAAACAAGAAATCAAATCTAGTCTTTCGGCGGTGGCGGTGAAATCCACCCCCCGTCCTCCAGCCACACACCAGCACCGCCATACTTGCCTGCTTCAGCTCCCTTTAAGAACGCAAAACGGAAAAACAAATCCTCAGGTCTATTGTCATCCTCATCCTCCGTGTCTATCGAATCGATACTGGTCTGGTCGCTCTCGATCGTCGGGCGGTGTAGGAGCTCCAAGCCAGTATGTCCGTGGCGGTGCCAGGTGAATTCTCCTAGTTTATCTTCATCAAGGTACCCACGCCAGCGCTCCACATCGTTGACTAGGACCGAGATACCGTCCACACCAAGATCAGCCATGCGTTCCTTCTCCCATAGCGTGAATGTAATGTTGCCATTCCCGTGGTATAATTCGTTGGATCCCGAGCCAGGAAGGGTGATGTTAACTGTTGCGTCGGTAATGTTGGGGAAAGTACTTCCCCACCATCCGTGAGCCCCACCAGGTCCCGGGGCAAGCTCTCCCAGGGCGGCGGGCGTCTCGATGATCGACGCGAACCCCCATCGAGCAATGCCGTTCATGAAAAGTCCAAGTAGCAGTCCTTGGTAAACCAGCGAAGGTCGCGTAGGAAGTGCAGTGCCAGGCATGAGAAGAATTGCAAGGATGTAATGGTGGATTCGGAGGCGGAGGCCAGGCAACGGAAGCAAAATCAACAGAATAAGGCCCATCGTGCAGTAGATCTTAAGATAATGCGGCATTAAACCGCCTTGGCGGATCTGCCAGGCCTGGCTGAGAATAATGCAAATGACCGTCGGAATAACCATAGCCAACGCTACCTTTGCTCCAGGCTGCTGCTGGATATCGTGAGGCGTAAGGCGTTCGAGAGGAATCAATCGTGCAAAGGTGTAGTTGTTCAATGCACCAATGAACACGGGAGGCAAGTAGAGGAATGTCTTTGTCATCTGATAGGTGGCATCTGAGAGTGGCCGAAGGAGTGGCCGCGCGCAGTACCTAAACAGAACGAAGGCCACGAACGAAGCGGGTAAGAGGTTTGCAAGCAAGCTAGAAACGAGGTCGGCAAACTGAGGAAGTGTCGGCGGATCAGACACCAGTCCCACTTGGCAGAAAACCATGAAAAAGGTGCTAAAGAATAGTACTGGGGGCGAGCGGCATAAGAGCCACAAGGTGGCTAGCGCACCAATGGTAATGCCCAAGAGCGGCCAGCGCGGGTCGTTAGGGCACGTTTCCTGCGATGAGCCTAAGGAAACAAAGCTGAATGACTTGGGGAACGTTGATGGAAAGCCAACCGAGCTGATTCCATTCTGCTTTGACGCAGGGAAGGAATGGGTCGCGCCTTCTAGCTTCACAACACCGCATCCTCCAATGGTATTTGTGATAACACCCGCATGAATAGCGGCTTGGCAAATAAAGCTGTCTGCCCGGTAAACCGGGGTATCATCCGATCCGGGTTGGGGTCCGCCAACCACGAGACCTTGATAGCTGTAAGTCTGATTGCCAACCATATGGGGTGCCGCCAACTTAGCATCCCGGCAGTTCGCGGGACAGCGGAAAGGAAGGGTCGCCGACGTAAACGGACGGCAGTCGTTTCCATTGAGGCCGCATTCATTGCCAAACTCCCTGTAAGCATTTTGTTAGATCTACCAGCTGCGAGAGGCACACGAGACCCCACAGCGCAACTTACCAGAGTGTCGTTCTACAAGTGAGGGTTTCCGGGCGGCCGAACCCTTCGATATAACCGGCGGAACGCGAATGGAGTAAGATGATAGTCCATGGCAAAAACCAGGTAAGATAGAACAGACCCAACAAGGCGATCTTATGCTTCCGTTTTGGGAAGAAACGTTCCAGGTACCGGACCGGGAGTTCCTGGATATGGGGGAACAGTGGTTTCAGCAGGAGATCATGCGGAGGATCCGGGCCTTTCACCCAGTTTGCGGTAGCACGAGCGACTTTCCGGATGGGTAGCGGTACCCAGCCCCATTTGAAGGACTTGGAAGATTCCCGTAGCCAGACGGGGATGTAAGAGACGCCCTGCTCTTCGTCTTCAGGAAGAATGTCGGAAGCGTCGGGATCGTCGGAACGCTCCGAGTCTAGCAACGGAGGGATGTAAACCCGGGAACCATCCTCGGGACCTTCACCAAACATCGTTTTGTTGTCCTTAAGAGGCGCTATACAATAATCGGACCAGCGATATAAAGTGAAGAAGAAGATGCAGGGGCAGAAGCCACAAACAGAGATCGGATAGGCAACCGCCGGAAGTGGGGGATGAACGGTGGAGTGACCGATACAGGATCCGTCACCGCCAGAGTTCTAGAACTGCTGCACAAGAAAGGCGAATGCTTATTTTTTTTCTTTTTCTTTTTTCTTTTTCTGTTTTTCTTTCACAACCAGCGGAAAGACATAGTGCTTCAAGTATGTAGAACAGCAACGATTGGATCTGGATAAGGATAGCCTAGGGAAGTGATCAAGAGAAAGAAAGAGGAAGTTGGCAGATGGCGAAAGTCATTCATTGGCTTCGACATGTCAGCAGTTCAGTGGCAACGCTGGCCAATCACCGGTGCTTATGTCAGCGAGGTACCTGCGGGGATTTTCAACGATTGTCAGGGGATCCCGTGGCGAAAATGCATTGCCATTGGAGCATACCTTCATGGACAGCATTCCAAGAGATGAAAAAAAAGTCAGCGATTGAAGATCGGTGGAGGGGGCGAATGGAAGGGGCCTTAAGCGCTCTTATTATAGGCGAAGGCGGTTTTGGATTTTCTTCTAAGCCCTAGGGGGAGCGCTATTATTATACATCGGGGTACAGTGGAAGACGACCGACACGGTGGGGCAGGATTTTCCTTTGGCACTTCCCCAGATACACGAGTCATGGCATTTCAGGCTCGCTTCTAGTTCTATCAATGGAGACTAAATCGATGACAGCCAGACATCATCCTGGACCGGCGTTACGGAGTATTGCATCGGATTTGTCGGATAAGACGAAGCGTCCGTCATCGTACACTATGGCTAGTCCACAGCCAAGCGCAAATAGAATCGAAGAGTCCCCAACGGTCTTGGAGCCAAAAGTGGATCTCAAACCGTCATTGACCCTGCTTATCAAGCATAGGAAAAGTACACAGGAAATAACCGTGGACGATTGGTCATGATAAGGGAGGAGTTGCACACGGACATTGAAAGACGTACGTATTCGTCTCTCGATTCCGTTCAAGTAGACAGAGATATAACCCTGTTCTGGAAATTGTTCATTTGCATAGAAACAGCATAAGGAACGGCCCACAAGACAGGGCCCATCGCAACATTGCAAAGCTACTATACCTTAATCGTACTTTTCTCCAAACATGGCGCCTCCTGTCGACCTGTCCCATCATTATGCATCCACCACCAAACGACGTGTGGGGAGCAGCATCAAGGACCTATATAAGTACTTCTTCATCCCGGGCATTGCGAACCTGGCTGGAGGTATACACGAACGACCGTCACTCGGCTCTGGGCTTTCCTTTTTCATGTGATATTCACTAATCCCGTCATCATCGATCATTAGGCCTACCAAATCCCTCATACTTCCCATACGATACCCTCGAGGCAACCGTCGCAACACCCCAGCGTTTCCAACCTTCCAGCAATGGCACCACCAAGAAGTCTGGCGATGACGCCAAGTCATCGATGCGGTTGATTGTTCCCAAAGAGAGTCACGCGACCGATGTGCAGAATAGAATCGACGTCGCCACGGCCTTGCAGTATGTCACAGCTGAAGGCCTCCCTCCTATGGCCTCCTTTGTTCGCCAATTCACCCGTCACCATCTTCATCCAAACGTTCCATATGCTGGAGGCCCCGACACCATCCTCACCACCGGAGCGACCGATGGCTTCTCCAAATCAATCGAAGTGTTTACGAATGTCTGGGACCCGGAGAGAGACTGGATCAGTCAACGCGAGGGCATTCTTTGTGAAGAATTCGTATATATGAATGCGGTCGCAACCGTCAAGCCCAGGGGTCTCAACGTCGTACCAGTCGCCATCGACACACAGGGAATGCTGGCACGCGGTAAAGGAGGGTTGGCCGATGTTCTCGAGAATTGGGATTTCCGAAAAGGCCGTCGTCCGCATCTAATGTACACCATCACGTAAGTTGGCGGGTGACGACGGTACAGTTCTATTTTTGGTGCAGGGCACAGCTGACATATTTGCTTCTTTTCAATGCAGGATTGGCCAGAACCCCACGGGCGGCACCCTATCCGTCGAGCGTAAGAAGGAAATATACGCGCTCTGCCACCGATACGATATCATCATAATCGAGGACGATCCTTATTGGAATTTGCAATACCCATCGGCAACCGCGTTAGAAGCCCAGCATCGTGGCTCGCCCATAGATACAGCTTCGGGTAAGCGTAATTATAATGCGCATGGAAAGTCCTCCGGATATGAATTCCTGGACTCGTTGGTCCCATCGTATCTATCCTTGGACACGGATGGACGCGTTGTGCGTCTTGACACGTTCTCCAAGACCATCGCCCCTGGTTGTCGCTTGGGCTGGATAACCGCACAACCGGCCGTGATCGAGAGATTGGCACGGGTGACCGAAACAGCAACGCAGGCACCTTCGGGCTTTGTTCAAGCCATGGTAGCCAAACTCATTCTGGGTCAACAGACAGAGCGCACGTCTACTAATTCGAGCAAGAGCGACTGTAGCTGGCAAATGGATGGCTGGGTCCGTTGGCTGGAGGGTTTGCGTGGTGGATATGAACGACGCATGCAAGACATGTGCAGCACTCTAGAGGAGGGTAGATATATTATTGCCACGGACGCCGGCCTTGAGTCCAGCGAGGAAAGCTGGGAAGTCGTAGATAAAGTACAGATGTACGACTTTTCTTGGCCCACCGGCGGTATGTTCGTCTGGATCAAGCTCCGTCTCGACACCCATCCCTTGTATGGCAGATACAATCCAGCCAGGCTTTCCAAGGCCTTGTGGGTACATTTGACACAGAAACCGTACCTCTGTCTCCTAGGACCGGGAGACTTGTTTGCTCCCTCGCAGGAGACCTTGAATCGTTCTTGGCAGTATTACCGACTATGCTTTGCGGCTATGCCTGAAGCTGACGTGAAGGATATCACGGTGAGACTGGTGGATGGGTTCCGGGCGTTCTGGAAGAGGACAGATTTAGATGGTCTCGAGGGAAACGGTGAAGATATGTCGCAGGTGGTTCGGAATATGGAAAAGGAGCGCGTGGCAAATTTCTTGGGAAGTGGATGTTAGAATGCTGGGGTTTTTCTCTAATGCCTTTTGTAGGTATGTGCTTATCAGAGCCCAAATGGACCAGAATATATATTGCGGTCAAGAGTATATAAATAACCCATGCAAACAACCACAATAATATCACCTAGAGCAGTATGCTGTACAGTCAATGCCGTACAAACTACAAGTAGACTAAAGTCAAATTCACTTCTACCTTTCCCATCATCATAGGGCAACTGAAGAAAGAGCGCTTCGAAGCCCAGTAGCAGATGGTAATGAGAATCCAGGAAACAGCGGAGTAGCAGACCGCCTTTTATACCATCTACACCCGTGAAACGCGACCGATAAAAGGGTCTTTTCCCCTGTAAACTGTGATACTGATATCTCCTCCAGAAAGGTATTTTCAAGTATGAGATTAAACTACAAGAATACTTATCCAACAAGCCATTTAGTCAACAAGCTTTTGCTCGAAAGTAATCGCTTTTGCCAAAATCGTAAACCCAAGAGTTTGACCATGCCAAAGATACAGTATATCACCTTTTGAATTGCTTTTCCTGTGCCATCGCAGCCGCTTTAACCACTATTGTTAGGTGCATCAGAGGTGCGTCAGTCGAGCGTAATGTACTTTGTCTTCCCTCCGTTCCCTTCTCTAGGAGACAAGTTCTATTAGTTCTTGTCGTTATTCTGTCAGCCATTTGCTCCTGCCTTACCTCTGTGGTGCCTATCGACGTTGGACAGGCATGGCTTCTGCATTAAGAGTGAAGGACTCATTAAGAGTGAAGGACTACGATCACCTCAATACAAGGTATATAATCTTCTACCTTTGCCTTTGAAACAACGATTGGTGACTCACATTACTATAGCTAGTGTTGATACTGGTCGGGACATAGCCTAGCGGCAGCTATTATCAAAGAAAACGTATTTTCTTTGACCTTATAGACAAAGGCAGGCAGATACTAGTTCAGAGAAACCAGCAGAACATTGATCAGGAGCAGTAAGTAGCTACTATTTCCCTATAATCCTGAGCAGGACTTATTAAGTCCAATCTCTTAGATCGACCATGGATAGTGACGAAACAAGAACCTTGCCTTTAAGTGAGATACTGCGCCAGGTTGCGGACTCGATGAAGTGGCAACAGGATGAAACATCTGTTACCCTCCCTGCGCATACCACTTCGAGAGCCACCATCCGAGCTGCAGAAGCAGCCCTCGACAATACCGATAAACCGATACTTTTAATGCCTCGCAAAACTAGGAACCGCCGAGCACTTCGAAATTTAGCACGCATGTCAGCTTTGGAATTGCCCTCGGAAACCGCTTTAGCTCTACCCATTCGAACAGCCATCGATCTAAAACCGGTAGAACCCCGCCGGCCGCTGAGTATGGAAGGTCGTGAGCGTCTACGCAAAATGGCCCAAGAGATGGCTAAAATGGAGTATCGAGATCCGTATGTATTATTTCAATCAAAATTGGGGGGATGTTGTGGTGGAGGAGTATCTCAACCTGGACAATGAAATTGTCTCTCTCTGAGAAGATATTGACCACATGCGGAGACTATATCGCAACCTAAAGGGGTATCTTACTGCCGCATTATTGTTATTGTTAATATTATTGATCTAGGTAATCGTTCTTTATTCTTGTACTAGTGCGCAGTTTGGAAGTAGCTCGCTCATGAAGAGTATAGTTTTTAGCTAGATCAAACTTGCAGACAACCTTGTTGTTCTCTGTTAAATGGGCCAATGGCCATTAATTAGCTATGCCGAAATATACATTAGTCATCCCACATTGAGAAAGCATAAAACCCACTGCACAAAAAACTAGCGATGACATCGGCGGGGAACTAATCTCCTGGTCAACACTGAAGCCACAGTCTACACTGCACCACTCAATGTCCAAAAATGTCGGCCCAACTCGACTACCTCGGCAACAATGAATTGGCCGAAGAGATAGAAGCGATCAATGCCATTTACGACCCCGATACCGTTACGATCAACAGCACTGCGGCTTCGTCGTCTACAGTCAACTCTACTCTCGATCTGGGCAGTTCCGGCTCAACGGATCCATTGGTCGCGACAGTGAAGCTACAGATTCCTGAACATCCGCATTTGTCGTTTATACTTGGGTTCAATGCCTCGTACCCTGACACACCACCCAAGGTCCTCGGGACCGCATCTACGGCGTCGCGCGGGGAGGGTAAAGTCGCGGTCGATGTTTTGGAGGATATATTAGGGAGAACGTACCAGCCTGGAGCCGTTTGCTTGTTCGACGTGATTAATGAGGCAGTGGAGGCTTTCCAGGAGTTGAGTATTGGGGGAAGCAACAACGAGAATAACAAAGAGCAAGAGGAAGAGACGGACACACCGGACCTGAAAGCCGAGGATATTGCTAGCTTGTCGTTAAAAGATGCTTTCGGACTGGACAATCCGCCTGAATGGATCTTGTCCGATGTCGTGACGGAGAAAAAGTCTGTCTTTGTTGGGCGCGCAGCACATGTTACAAGTCTTGAGCAGGCTCAAGCTTATCTGGATTATCTCCTGGCGACCGAGAAGAAGGTAGCAGCTGCAACGCATAATATCAGCGCTTGGCGCATTAGGCAACAAAAACCGTCGAATGGAAAGGGCGAGTCCGCCGAAATGATTGTTCAGGATTGCGATGATGATGGGGAGACAGCTGCCGGGGGCCGATTACTCCATCTCATGCAGCTGATGGACGTATGGGATGTGGTCGTAGTGGTCACACGATGGTACGGCGGAGTCTTATTGGGCCCCGATCGGTTTCGCATTATCAATGCTGTCGGTCGCGATGCGCTCATGAAGGGTGGGTTCGTCAAGGATTCGACCCCTGCAGGGAATGAGAAGGGAAAGAAGAAAGGAAAGAAATGAGCTCAGGGTCTGGAGTGGACCATGGTCGAGCTTGCTCATCGATTGCCGGCTGATCCGTTCCATGCCATGAACCTATTTGTCGCATCTCCCGATTCCCCTTAGAGGCCCATCTCGATGACCTCGGCGTTTGTGAGGTCGTATCGGACCCGTCGGTCGATATGCTTGGGCCACCATGTGCTACGTTTCTCCTAAGGTAGCTCGATGATTGTCGGTCAAGTACCGGAAGGATTTTCTCGTTACCAATAAGAGAGGATCGAGAACCATCCGGGGGATGCAGGAGGTGGATACATCAATTTCGCATCAGATTAAACTCAACAGCAAGAGACGGTGTTGCCTGGAGAGGGGATGGTGACTCGGATCCTGCCCCCCTGTCCAATAGATCGTACCATAGATTGAAGATACCCGAAAGACTGTAACTGAACAAAGACCAAAGGGCTTCTATTATCGATGACTTGCTATTCAGAACTTTCAGCCTTCACGGCGCGAAGATAATAGTCAATGATAAGCTGACCAAGTCCTCACAGCCTTGATTTCTCAAACATTCAAACTCACTGTCCTGCACGCCAGCTCCAAAGGCTGACAACTGAACCCCACACTCCGAAACAATACAGTGACACACGCACATAATATGACGTCGAATTGTCCAATACTACATTAGAGATTAGTGGGTAAAAAAGCTAATGTAAAGGATGCAGGAAGGAAATTAACTGGTCCACCGCTACATTCTAGAAGGCCAGGGCCAAGTGTAACCTTCCAGGTTCCTCCTACTAGAACTGTCTCGGCGAGAGCCCGGCCAGGGCAGGAGAACACTCGGGTGGAGGGACCGATATGAGATATCCGTTTCAGATCGCGATATATTTTATCAGGTTTACATAATGGATGGAGGCATCGGCCCATCGTTGGGTAATTCGGATGATCCTGTGAGCTAATGTCTGCATCAAAGCTTGGTATGCGACTTGGATGTGTTCCTGGACTATTGGTAGCGGTGACTACTGTAGCCGCCCGGTTCCTGGATGGTTTGTTCTTCATGAACCCCATGTGGTGGAGGCAAATGCAAGAGGTGTTGGTCGCACGGCGGCTGCAGAACCAATGGAACGGCCGGGGAGACTGCAGTAGTAGTCCCTCTTCGGCTACTCTGGTGTGTACCTGAAAAACGGTCGACCCGTGTGAACGGGGGTCTCTAAACCAAGTTGGTATGTACATGCGCCAGATATAAGATCGAGTGGGTGTATTGTGAGTCGTACAAACGACCGCATTCGGTCCACAAGAAAGAAATCTAATTAGATTGTTTGAGGTTTGAGACTGGGTCACGGGAGACGAGGTACTAGTAGGACAATCTCATGGGGGAGCATCGTCGGACCAGCCCGGCTGCCTTGGGGGAAGAAGAGCGAAAAGAAAAGAAGGGACAAATACCGATTGTGAATGGAAATTATGCCCAATACTACCTCAATATCGCAATACCTTATTGGAGAGCCGTAAACGAACATTCGGCAAATCATACTCCTACCCGAGGCCACAAATTTATCTGAAACACGTATCGACGGGAAGATCTCATTTGGTCTTCCCCTCCGTAAAGGAAACTTCTAAGCGACATTAAGGAAGTGGGTACGGGACCAAGAACAAGGAGATTTATACCCTGGAATCTAATATATCAGGGACCATTATACATAACCTATTACATATCACTTTGATATTGACGATGAGTATATAAAAAAAATATGATACTCAGGAATTGATTGAGGTTACTCCACAAGACGTAATTGTCCCAAACTCGGTCTCGTAATGGTACGGAACTGGAGATCTGGACCCTGAACCATGGATGAACGAGAACCCAACCTCAGGAGAGAAGAGGAGGCTGGATATTTCGTCGCAAGCTGCTAAGAACAATAGTGTTGGTTTAAACTTCGAAGCTCCTTGAGTCCCAACCGCACCGACTGAATTCCTATTTTGAAGTTAACTTAGTAAGGCGGAGATTCTGCCTATTTTAGACGAAAGTACGGAGTACTACTGTGTATGTTCGTACGCGCAGCTCATGTCTCTGTTGCCTCAACACGTCCTTGCCTGTTTCCTAAGTATAACCCAGCATTTTTGCCACATGCATGTGCGTCGAGCGCTAAGCCGCGCAATAAGAACACAGAAAACAAAGGGAACAAAAAATAGCAGCGGAGAATTTTGACTTGCAGCCTGTTTCTTGTTTGGACGGCGTACCCTGCAGTATGGATGGAGTCCGACGGGAACCCCATTTCCCAGTCACCATTAACAACCAGATTTTATACATACCACAGACTTACACTTGAGGTGTGAAAATGGAGACATTCTCGTATTGTAGTCTACGAGTCAGAACCGTTCAGCTTCCCTGACTGGTCCATGTTCGGCGTCTATCAGACATCAAGTCTTATTCCGTTTGCCCCACGTTTGGCGGTCAACTCCGTGTCTTTCACTCTTTGTCTAAGAAAGTTTTATTTTATTTTATTTTTTCCCCTGTCGGTCAGCTTGATGATCAACGGAGTCGGATTACAGTATGAGATCCCGCGCTCTGCACTTGGACGTAATGTGGCGTGGTGGGCAAGAACGGCATCCACGTATGTGTATTGTACTATTGTTCCCACTTCCACGCCACTAGGGTATTGGTTCAGAATGAGTTCATTTCCACACGAAGGTGAATGGGGATTTAATCTCATTTCACCATCTGATAGTATGTAGAAGTAGATTGTTCTAGGAGCACTCTTAGTCATATTATTAGGGAATGAGATGAGGTTGTTGAGCGACGATGTAACTCAGCAATCTTATTCCGCGATGATATGATAATACATCGGCTGTGATTTCCACTCCATGAAATTTGGATGATTTTTGTTAAGCCTCCCCATGATTGTGGCAATGCCTATTGATTGGCGGTAGATCCGCTGAGGGCGGCCCCATCTTGCCATCCAAGGCGCCAACCGAGTCTGCATGCCGCGACCAATCCTAGGCGGTAGCTGGTCAGGAACCGAGCATTCGGGCGGATGGTGTGACACCAAAGCCCCTCCCCGGGCCCAGGGGCGACTTTCCTGTTGGGTGCAGCCGTCAACACTACTGCAGGACTAAACGGAATTTCATGGCTGGGCGCCTTGCTTGATCCCCTCATGACTGACGCTGCATTGGATGCCGTCGCTCACGGTAGCATCTGGATGGTCCATCTCATCAAAGATTTATGGGTTACATTTATTACATTTTCTCCATAGTTACATACAATACTGAATACCCTGTCTCCAGTACTCCTCCTACTACCTAGTGAGTATCCCAAAAGGGCTGCATCCACGGACCCTCAGTGGCTGCAGGGCGTTGCAGCCCCAGCAAGCCACCCAAGCGCATGGATGCGCAACCTTTTTCTTTTTTTGCTCTGTAAACTCTGTTGCACCTTTCAGCAGTGATGGATCAATGGAGGTCCCACTCACTCAATGTTTCACATTTGTTCAGAACCCTTCGATAGAGGCTCGCGTTTGGCAGGTTCAGAGTTTGTGATCCAACGCTTGTCACCCCACCTCTCCTAAACCCTCCACGGCAATTCGCACGACCATCGGTGAGGATGCTTGGTCGAAGCGTCTAAAAACTATATATTCCCCCCTCCCTACACCACCATGCCTTGTCTTCTTCGTTCTCCTACCACGCTGGTGCGATTCAATCCTTTTACAGTCTATCTGTTCGACGGTTCTACAGGCTAGTTCCTGTTCGCTTTCTTCACTCCTTTTTGATTCTTGGTCTCTTGCCTGTGGCAGTTACCAGACATTCCTTTTTTGGACAAACGCCATTGTACTACGTGTGACAAAAAGTAGCGCCCTCGCTCATCTTCATTTTACGAACAATCGTCTCTCGATAAGAAAGTCATTGTTCTACTCAGTCTTGAACAAAGCAGGCATTGTTACTTAGCTCTGCTTCTCTTCACAGGTATGGCCTATTTGCGCTGAAGTATTTCCTATGTCCTTTATTCGAGACCGTTCTGGATTCGCGGAACTTCACTGTGTTCCTCTATCTTGTGTTGGTCAACTCGTGAAGGATCAGCTCTATATAACAGCTCGTCACCTCCATACTTTGCGACACCATCATCTAACTGATCACCTTCCAGACTCGTTTCGCACGACTACATCCAAGGTCTTGTCCCGCGGTTCTGACTCGTCCGGTACGATCAGAATCTCCAGCCATTCTTTCAACTGTCGAATAGTCAGATCAATAGCACCGACGTTCTTTCAAACGATCAAAATGTTCAGCAAGGCTTTCGTTGCCGCCGCTCTACTCGGCGCCGCCGCCGTGGATGCCCACATGGTGATGTCGAGCCCCATTCCTTACGGCAAGGACACTCTCAACAACTCTCCGCTTGCGGCGGACGGCAGTGATTTCCCTTGCAAGCTGAGGTCCAACACTTACCAGGTCACCGAAGAGAACACTGCCGCCATCGGCCAATCGATGCCCCTGACTTTCATGGGTAGCGCTGTTCACGGTGGTGGTTCTTGCCAGGTCAGTCTGACCACCGACCGCGAGCCCACGAAGGACTCCAAGTGGATTGTCATCAAGTCGATCGAAGGTGGATGCCCCGCCAACGTTGATGGTAACCTTTCTGGTGGTCCCTCCTCTACCGGAGCCTCCAAGTTCACCTACACCATCCCTGAAGGTATTGAGCCTGGCAAATATACCCTCGCCTGGACTTGGTTCAACCGTATCGGAAACCGTGAGATGTACATGAACTGTGCCCCTCTTACCGTGACCGGTGGTTCTTCCAAGCGTGACGAAGTTCCCAAGGAGAAGGCGGTTGAGAAGCGCTCTCCTAACTTCCCGCCCATGTTCGTCGCCAATGTCAACGGCTGTATCACCAAGGAGGGTGTCGATATTCGTTTCCCCAACCCCGGTTCCAACGTTGAGTACGCTGGTAACAAGAACAACCTTGCGGCTGAGGGCAGCCAGGCCTGCACTGGCACCCCTAGCTTCGGTGGGGATGGCAACACCGCTGGTTCTAGTGGCTCTTCCGGCAGCTCTTCTGGAAGCTCCTCTAGCAGCTCCTCCGGTGCTACCTCTGCCCCTGCGCCTCCTGCGCCAGTAGCTTCCTCGACTTTGGTCCCCAAGCCTTCCCAGTCCTCTGCTCCTGGTGTCTTTGTCCCTACTGACGCCCCCGCCCAGCCCACCCAAACTAGCGCCCCGTCTGGTGGCTCTAGCTCCGGCTCTGGTTCCAGCTCCGGTTCCAGCTCTGGCTCCGGCTCTTCCTCCAGCTCTGGTGCTCTGACTGGATCTTGCAGCTCGGAGGGTTCCTGGAACTGCATCGGTGGTTCTTCCTTCCAGCGCTGTGCCAACGGACAGTGGACCCCGACGCAGGAGATGGCTGCTGGTACTGAATGTACTGCCGGCCAGGGCACGGATCTCAAGATCAAGGCTATCAACCTTGTGCCCCGCATGCTCCACGAGATGCGTCACAGGAAGCGCAACTACCACAACCACGCATAAAGAAAGTCTGACATCCGCTGGTCCGGTTATCGGACTTCCTTTTTGAATTCTCTTCGTTTTCCTTGCACCGGCGCGGACGCTAGTGGGGAGTCCTTCTAGGATGGATTTTCTTCTTCGATTGTATTTACTTTAGGGTAAATGAAAGAAAGGTTGGAACTTAAGACCTTCATTGAATAGAAAGCTTTGAACATTATATTCAGTTGGCACAGAATTAGTTTGACGTACCGGTAGTTTAAACTAGTATTATTTGTAACACCAATGTTTGTAGTCCCCATGAAGTTGAACTATTACCAGTTCCTAGAATGCCACCTTACATATTTCATGTATCTCCATGAGGGCGATGCAACTAGACCCGCATAATGTTGGATATTCTGAACGTGGAGCTTTTCCAGACATAAGCATTTACCTTAAAGCTAGTGTATAGCAAGTCACTCTCAGATTAAGTGGTCTGTCGATCTTAGGTGTTGCACGGTCTTATCCATATATTGTCTATTTAGTATGCATTTCAAAGAAATATAAAGATATGTACGCATCATGGCCTGAGTTGAAGGCAACCTTGGACGTAACTGAATGAGCTCATATCCCCATGGATATTTCGGAGTATCTCAAATATATTCCAACAGTCCCATGTGATGGGCTGTTGGAAATAGAATCGTTGGGCATGCTTCTGTAGCACGTAAAGCATCTCAACGGGATCTTATCTATGTATCATCTTGCTGAAGACTTTTGTGTTTGGATAGCGTGTTACTTCACTTGAAGGTTGATGTACTTCCTGTACACAACTATTGCTAAGAGTAGATGTCAATGATGTATAACTTAGCATAAGTGATTAGTCAGTCTTGGCGGTGAGCAACAACATCAATGTTCAACTTGACATGGCAGCGAACATGACACTGCAATAATGCCAGAAACTGCTTCAATAATACAATTCTGTTTGGGTTACAAATGAAATAAAATAGCCTGAAATCATATAGTACCGCCCATATAGCCAGGTACGCTATGTACAGCACTCATGTGGTGTAGTAGTTCAACGTGGCAGTCAACCTGAGGTGTCGGCCAAGTCAGAAGCGACCCGCCCAAAAGCGGTAACCAGGGCTTAGGGTTTCTCTGGAGCCCACCACCCGTGTCGGGGACTAAGCGAAAATTTCCTCAGCCCATTGGGAGGATACTCGATCTTCAACCTCGAACGACGACAACGACCACCTCACCGTCGACAACAATGGCGTCTCGTCCTACCGTCACTATCGCCACGGCTGAAGGCAAGCCCAGCGGGGCCACTGCCCCCCTGCCCGCCGTTTTCAACGCGCCCATCCGTCTTGATGTTGTCCAGTATGTTCGAAGAGTTTACGGCGCGATTTAGAGGGGGACCGGAGGATGGCTGACGGCTTCATTATAGGCAGGTTCACACCGGCATGGCCAAGAACAAGAGACAGCCTTATGCTGTGAGCGAGAAGGCTGGTGAACAGACCTCTGCTGAGTCCTGGGGTACCGGTATGTGAAATTGGATTGCGAATTCGGAGGCAGAATTGCAAGGTCAGGGAATTGGGTTGCTGAACAGAATTTTTCGATCAGGTCGTGCCGTCGCTCGTATCCCTCGTGTCTCTGGTGGTGGTACCCACCGTGCTGGTCAGGCTGCCTTCGGTAACCAGTGCCGCTCTGGTCGTATGTTCGCTCCTACCAAGGTCTGGCGCAAGTGGCACCAGAAGCTCAACCAGAACCAGAAGTATGATACTCAGCACTGAAATCTAGGCATTGGGATTGTGCATGATATTAACATGATGATAGGCGTTTCGCTACTGCTTCTGCTCTTGCTGCTTCTTCCGTCCCTGCCCTCCTCTTCGCCCGCGGTCACCGTGTTGCCAACGTTCCCGAGGTTCCCCTCGTTGTTGAGTCCAAGACCTTCGAGAACGCCGCTCTCACCAAGACCCGTGCTGCTGTCACCCTTCTGAAGGCTCTCGGTGCCGGTGACGAGCTCGTCAAGGTCGCCAAGTCCCGCAAGATGCGTGCCGGTAAGGGTAAGCTCAGGAACCGTCGCTTCCGCCAGCGCCGTGGTCCTCTCGTTGTCTACAACCCCGAGGTTGATGGCAAGGAGCTCGTCCGTGCTTTCCGCAACATCCCCGGTGTTGAGACCTCCCCCGTCTTCGCCCTCAACCTCCTCCAGCTCGCCCCTGGTGGTCACCTCGGTCGCTTCGTTGTCTGGACCTCCTCTGCCTTCGAGGCCCTCGACCAGGTCTTCGGCACTGGCTCCGCCCCTGCCACCCTCAAGAAGGACTACGTCCTTCCCCAGAACGTTGTCGCCAACGCTGATCTGGCCCGTCTCATCAACTCTTCTGAAATCCAGTCCGTCCTCCGTGCTCCCAAGGGCGAGGCTCGCACCAAGCGCGCCAACGTGCAGAAGAAGAACCCTCTCCGCAACAAGCAGGTTATGCTCCGTCTTAACCCCTACGCTGCTGCTTTCTCTAAGGAGAAGCTCGGCCAGAAGGCTGTTGAGAGCGAGAAGCCTGCTGGACCTTCCAAGGAGTTCCTCACTACTCTTCACGAGAACTAAAAGGGTGATTCGGTTTTGTGTTTGATATGATTTACTTCGGTTAAAAGGTAGCACAGCAAATGAATATGGATTTGCAATACCCATGAATACTTTTTACGATAATGTATGAATACACTGTGCCAATGTAGTGCTCTTTACTGAAGTAGACTTGCCTTCTTTTGTAAATCCACACTGTACGCTAGCCTGTGGCATCTCGAGCGACTACATGAACAGGATCATGATATCTGATCATCTCTGCCAGTCAGCATGTCCCATCAAGAGCTAACACTCATCATACAGCTCCTCACACATCCTACAATTCACACCATACTTCAACAATTATCATGTTGAATATCTTCCACTCAATGCTTGACCAACCCTGAAACAGAGCCTTCGCCCCAGTACTAGATAGATACCGTGCCAACACTGCATCTACTCCCGTACCTTTATATATTATAGCAACAGCGCAAAGATAAACCATAGATGCCTATCTCTCTCACCCCCACCCCGATTCCACATCGCTCCTGAATATCTCACCTGACATCAACAGTGCTCGATACTCAGTAAGATGCGTCCCATAACTCAGAAATCATTCATTCATCCATCATCCTCCTGTCCTTTACCAGGGGGAGTGGAGCATAGTATTCTGATTGCATATACAACAAAGACACACCCTCACGCATCCCGGCACAGAGACTCGTATAGTGATAGTGAAAGGTACCCACCAAGTAAGGTTAGCTAAATCAAGAACCTCTGATTCTGATAATGTCTAGATGATAATCTGTTCTTTCACACTGAGATTGATATAGGAATGATCTTTTAGTAGCTAATTCACTCTAGACTAAGGCCCGGTGGACCAGGATTAGTGGTCTTGCTTTCTGGGCACGGGATACATGTTAGTAGATGACGGTCTATTGGAGTGTTCCTTCAGTTCCCTGCTATTCCATCCTGTCTGTATCATTCGTTGAGGGCGTGTTGAACGAACTAGAAAGGCAAGGGGAAAGGAAGGGAGGGGGAACTAGTTGCCCCAGGAGAAGAAACCATCCTCGATCGATACAAGCCTGGAATGGACGGCCCCAAGAAAACTGAATGGCCAGGAAACCGTGGATCTCGTGACCCGATGCTGCATTCTGCAATTCGAGTACTAACGTCATGTATCTCTCCTGGTGGGGGGGGGGGGGAAATGACAAATATAAGCGAAACTATTCCAAGAATTCGGATGGAGATCCATCGGGTTCGAGAATTCAGGGTCTAGAACCCATGGCTATATCGAGTGCATATTATCGTAACATCAATCAACCGTCATAGCTAAGCCAAGCAATGTCTCTATGTAACGACTCTACAGCAATTTCCTCCACAAAGTACGTAATGATGGGTAGGCTAGCTACGGACTAGAGGCATTTGATACTTATTTCGGATAACAGTCCGGTAGATAAGATATGTTCTAAGCATGCAGGAGCTCGCTAGTAGGGTCGTCAGTTTATGCATGAAGAGACGAATGGAGGTAGGGTGGTATGGTAGGCTGGGTAGCACTTGAGTCGGCGATTTGGAATAGTAGAACGATGGGGCAATTGCATAAGAAACAGTTGAGGGGTTATTTGTCGGGGGTGCTCGGTCGAATGTATGGTCGCTTGGTGGAGAGTGCTTGTTTTTGGTTTTTGCCTGTTGCATATTTTGTGGGGGTATATCGGCAGGTTTTATACTCCCCAGATCATCTACACGCTTGATATAGGACATCCGTCGTAGTTTCTTGCTTGTTGGGAGGGTTTCTATAGCGTTATTCTTCAAGTGATTGTGGAACACAGAGTACAATCTCGGGGCGAGAGCGTTTTTATAGTCATTGAACTTGAGAAACACCCGTGCTCTTATACATGATATCCCGAGCCTTCATAGTATCAATTTCATGCTGAAGAACCTTATCTAATCGGTGAGAATCATCACCTGATGGCTATCCTAGAGAGGCAGCTGGTCGTACGTGAGGTGAAAACTCGGTGGGCCTACTGTGGATACACTATTTCCACACAGACGTGTTCAACTGCTTGACAAGGCAGTGGCGGGTACTGTACCGCCAGAACACAGTCGTCTTGGGAGCCAAGTCTTCAGCATGAAGAGCTTATCGCTGTTCTAGACAGAAGTGGCTTTCTAGTCTCCGATAAATCAAACCAATCTGGGAGGTTGAACAACCGAGGATGTTCTTTGAATCACACGCTACGTGAACTATTGAAGGGAACCCGCCTTTGGGTCCATGGCTGAGTGTATACAGTGGTGGGTATATGGGGGGATGGTGATAGGCTCGAGGGTCGTTAAAGCTTTGGGGGACAAAAAGAAGGAGGCTGAGCGTTCCATTAGCCCATTCCACTTTATCTTCCGGGTTCCAAGTTTCCAACTACCAGGCCTCTCGCCTCGCATAGCCCAAATTGACTTAAGTTGAAACAAGAACGCGCTCGTATACATTAGTTTAATTGTTCCCAGGAAAGCTCCGATTGGATCCTGCCGATCATATAGACGAGCACAGGAAAACTATATTTCGATAGAGGCATTTGGATACGGGACGGATATTTTGACAGTATCTCATGGATCAACACATGGTTAGTCCCCACATAGACGAATATCGACGCAATTTGTCGCAATTTGCCCACACTCTCTCTTGCGCTGAATGCCTGGTAGAAGCGAGTAGATCGCCGAGGTAGGTACCGGCCACCTGTCCTTGAGTTGAACACAGCACGCTATACGTAATCATATGGATAAGGGGCTCGTTAGCTGCCGCGGCGTTGCATTGACGACAGTTAAGTATAGACTTGGAACCTTATGCGCCGGTGGGCTAAAAGGTTGATATATATCCATGCTCGCCGACAACGAGCATCCTGGAAGGATTCGGGGCGTCCACCGGGGCAAACATCTGGTTAATATGTAATAAGACCCTCATTCGCGCCGAGGGAACGAGCTGGTGCTTCTGTACCTCCGTTTGGCTCCGGGTAAATTGGTGTCTTGGGTTAATTTAATAATTGCGTAAGATATGATACTCGGTGAACAGGTGTCTATGTCGTCGTTCCATCGTGGTTATTTTTGATCCTTGGTGGTCTTTTATTAATATCATGGTGTAGGTATTTATTTTTCCATTATTCGGTAATCTGGGAGGATCAGACACCGGGTTATTTGCATGTGCGTCAACCTGCCCTAAAGGAGGCTAGAGAGATTACTAGTACCATTTCCTCTTAGTATGCCCTCATCGATTCCATTACTTGAGAGATTTTGAATTTTATTTAAATCTTAATCTTTGAAAGGAAATCGGCAATTCAACCAAACGGCATTACGGCATTCACAAAGTCAATACTAATTGTTAGCCGCCCAAAGCTCACGGACTTCCATATACTAATGCCAAGACCGATTCTCCGTCTGGTCAGAAGAGATCAGCGATGCGAACGTGGATGATCCACTTTTTTCTTTATTTCCCTTGAGTAAAAAGTAAAAAAAAGAAAAGAAAAGAAAAAAGGTTCTGTATCATATGAAAGTCACGAGCCCCGATTTCTCAAAAATATTTCTTTAGTCCGATCTTGTACCAGTGACTATTTACCACGTAGGTCGTAACCCTGAAAAGTCCGTGTAAGGAATTTAAAGACGGAACATCGGTACTGATAGGTCTCCGTCCTTGCAGATATGATCGTCCGCGCGGGAAGGAAAAAAAAAAAAAAAAAAGAAAAAAGACAAAAAAAAAGAAATGACAAGAAAACAAAAAAGCAAAGGCACTATGTATTCACACAGAGCGGAGGCTCGGAATCATAATTCCTCACTTGCTTACTTAACAGAAAAATAACGGTTCCATGGAACATGCATGGTTGACTTTTTTAATGAACATGAAAAAACCAAGCAAAACACAAATAAAACAATGAAAAAACTTCATCGGGAATTAATTACATCCCAAGAACCTTGACTGATTTTCTTTTAGTCTTATTTTTGAAGAGATTTGGGTTTTTCTTGTTGCTTTATTTTTGGATTGTTTCCGGTTAGCCTTTAAATAGTACCGGACGAACCGCGACCACATACATAAGTTCCTACGATTAACTTTGAACCCGCCCGGCGCCCCTCAAGCTTTACTGAATTCGGTTATTAGTTGTCAAGTGGATTAAACGCTAGTCTGTTCTGGAGCGAATTCAGGGTTCAAGTTAGCTAACCTTTTGCCTAGACTATAGTAGTTCTTAACCATCTGCTGTCACTTACGTTTTCCATCGTCCCATGCGCGCGCTCCCTGATAGCCGAGGTGATATAGTTAGTGGACATTCCAGTCGTCCATGATTACATCGTACGTACATACATACTACTATGTATGTACAGACCTGTACTTTACTACTAGTACCCTGGTCTCTTTTCACTTCCCCCTCCTTTTTTTTGTCGCTTCTCCGACTGATGTTGTATCCCAATTTGTCTCCATAAACTAGGTAGATACTAGTACCTAAAACTCGTACGATAGTACTTAGGATACTCGCCTACAGGCCTCCAATGGCAACCATTAGACATGCAGGGGCTTGGTAAGGCTTTCCTGTTTATCTATTCTTTTCTTTTCGTTTCTTTTCTTTTCTTTTTTCTTTTCTTTCTTTCTTTTTTTGACTATCAGTTATCTCCATCGGTGCAGATCCCGTACTACTGCGTTGCTTGTACGGAGTATCTGACCTGTCTTCTGCCTTAGGCTAATTTCTGTTACTTGAGTTTCAACCGACTGGCTTGCAGCCGATGCTCCACACATTGAACTTTGGCGCCACCGTTAGAAGCTTGCGACCATGGTGCACATGCGCTTGGAAAATTCCCGTTTGCAAATCGGATATGCCGAGTTGTCAAGATCTATCTAGATGTAACTTTCGGCATGGCCCTTCATCTCTATTTCATCTCTGACGCCTACGTCAGAAGCTCGATTCGCCGTCGGGATCGTCGCTTGTCCGCGTCAAAAGAGTATCTGGGAAGATGATCCGGGTCGCTAGGAGATGTTAAATAGATTGACTGGTTGGACCAGGGGGATGGCTGCAAGGATTGGCCATGCCCATGCCGGACGATAATTGCCATTATTAATAAAATCCTGTTATATTAGCATGGGTTTTTC